AGTACCAAGCTCGTCTTTGAAGAGAAAAAAAGAAAAATCTCTAAAAGCAAGCGTAAGGCTCAAGAGAAAGAGACAAAAGCAATGAAGGAAGCAGTGGTGGAACTGAAGAAGAATGTTCAACTGCTGGTACACAATGGGATGAAAGAGCATGTTAGCAACGTCGTCAACTCTAGCTCACTTGACAACATTTTCAACCTCTACTGACTGCCAACTGATATTCTCGCCTTCACTGATTGTAGAAAGAAGTTGAAAGCGGAATTTCTTGAAGTGGATATTACGAAGATCACCTTCGGCGAACAAGAGGAAGGAGTGGAGGAAAATGGTGAGAGCATGTCAGCAAACTTCCATCATTAGATTAAACTGAGGTGGGATCATGATGCAGAAGGGCGCATTATTTTTCCTCCCAATTTCGACTTTGAGTTCGTGGCAGTGAAGGAAGAAGAAGCAGAGGTAGAGGAAGCTAAAGTAGGAGCAGGAGTAGAAGGAGCTAAAGTGGATGAGAGTCAGCCACCTCTGTAAGTGGAGGTCCATCTACTTCCTTCTGATGATGAGCAGCCATCTCTTCCAGCCGAGCAGCAGCCACCTTAGCCACCTCCTTCAGCAGAAGAATGAAGAATTTTTGTTTTTGATATTTTTGTTTTGATAATATTGGAACATTTTGATAATTTGAACAATTTGTAATCTTTATTATTTGATTTTAATAATAATTTTTGTTTTTGAAATTATGTGTAATGCTTGCTTTGTATTTTGTTTTATGAAGTAAATCACTTCGGATATGAACTAAGAAGAAATAAATAACTTTAGATATGAACTAAGAAGTAAATCGCTTCAGAGATGAAATAAGAAGAAGTAAATCACTTCGTATGTGAAGCGAAATTCATTAATGAAAGTGAAGTCCAATGAATAAACTTCAAACAGATTGACCTTGGGTATATAGAATAAAAGATGAAATGAATCTCCAAAATGAAGAAGTAATAAGTATAAAGAAGGATAGGACATAGATCACTTGAAAGAAGTTTATTAAGGGTAAAATTTCTTCAAGTTATTGATACTCCAGACTCTAGAAACTCTCTTCCCTTTAGCGTCTTGGAGGATATAGGCACCAATATGTGGCACTTCGACCACTGTATAAAAGCCTTCCTAGTTTGGGGCCAGTTTGCCAAAATGAGTTTAAAACCCTATTAGGCCAGCCTTTCTAAGAACAAGGTCTCATACTTTGAATGTTTGAGGGCGGACTCGTTTGTTGTAGAAGTTGGCTAATTTTTGCTTGTATACTAGAGTTCGAAGTTGTGCTTCTTCTCTTACTTCTACAAGCAAATCAAGGTTTTCCCGAAGCAGTTGTCCATTTCGTCCTTCATCGAAATGGGTGACCCGGAGGCTTGGGACTCCTATTTCAATAGGAATTACTGCTTCGGTACCAAAGGCCAAATGGTAGGGTGTTTCACCTATTTCATTAAGTTAAAATTTTTAGAATATGCTTTACGTGTTGTGCATATTTGATCTAGGGTAAAGTAGCAAGCGAGGAAGTAAAATAGAATGAAAATAGAACGAAAGTAACTTAGGTTGGAAATAGTACCTATGGCAGTTCGGCTCGTTGTTTTATATGCCCATAGGACGTTGTGAGCTCGTCTGCCCACCTAGCCTTGAGTTGCTCCAACCTAGCCTTGAGTTGCTCCAACCTCGGCTTTATTCCTTCGAAGATAGCTTTATTAATAGATTTTACCATACCATTGGACTCGAATGGTAAACCGAGGTGAACTGTAGTTTGATCCCGTAATTGGAGCAAAAATCTCGGAAGGAGGAGCAGTTAAATTGAGTACCATTGTCAGCCACAGTCTGGTTCGGGATCTCATATCGGTAGATAATTGAGCCAAAAACAAAGTCTTCGACCTTTCTGGAAGTAAGACTGGATAATGGTTGAGTTTCAACCCATTTTGTAAAATAATCAACTCCAGCAATTAGATGGGTTACACCTCCAACCCCTTTCATGAATGGGCCCAAAAGATCAAGTCCCCACTGAGCAAATGGCCACGGTGCTACCAAGTTGGTGAGCTCTTTTGCTAGTTGGTGAGTCAAATGTGCAAAGAATTGGCATTTCGAGCATCTCTAAACAAAGTGAGTAGCATCTTTATACATATTCGGCTAGTAATATCCTTGTTTAAGGACTTTGTGAGCCAGGGTTCTAGCACCAATGTAGCTTCCACATACACCTTCGTGCACTTCTCGAAGTGCGTACTCAGCTTCGTAAGGATTCAAGCATCGTAGAAGAGGGAGTGAGAAAGATCTCTTATAGAGCACTCCATCAATGAGTATGTATCGAGACGCTTTCTTCCTCAACCTCATTGCCTCTTGCTTGTCTTCAGGCACTATCCCGTCTTATCAAAAGAAGATAATTGGATCTGTCCAGCTCGGTGTATCTGGGTCTGTGCTGATCTCCATCATTCGTGGCTTCATGAAGCTTGGCTCATCTAAAATTTCCACGAAAACTGATCTGGAGCTTAAAGAGCTATTAGAGGCAAACTTAGAAAGTGAATCTACTTGTTCATTCTCAGTTCATGGTTTTTCGCTTAAACAAAAGTTTTGGAACTTGCACTTTAGCTCAGCCACTAGGGCTACATACTTTGCCATGACAGGATCAACAACCTTGCAGACTGAGTTGACTTGATTGACCACTAGTTGGGAGTCACTGTAGACTCTTATGGCCGCAACTTTCAGTTCCAATGCTAATTGCAAGCCAAGTAACAAAGCTTCATACTTTGCCATGTTATTAGTGGCATCAAAGTTAAATTTTAAAGCATGCTCACTTCGATATCCATCTGGACCCACTAGGAAAGCACCAGCTCGTGAGCCCTTGCTGTTTGATGCTCCATCAACATATAAGATCTAGTTGCTCAACTCAAGGTTAGAGTTTAGATGACATGGGGTGCATTCTACAATAAAGTCTGCTAGTGCTTAAGCTCGGATTGTAGACCTCTACTGGAATGTTATCTCGAATTCCACCAGTTCTACTGCCCATTTAATTAACCTTCCGGAGCACTCCGGCTTCTGCAGAATCTGTCGAAGAGGTTGGTCTGCGAGGACGATGATTGGATGTGACTAGAAGTATGGCCTCAGCTTTTTAGCCGAAGTGACAACTACTAGTGCTACTTTCTCAACAATAGGGTACCTCAGTTCTGCTCCGTGCATGTAATACCCCAAAATTTGGGGATATTTTAGCATTAAATAAGGGATTTATTTGAGGGAAAATATTATGGAGGGGCTTAATGATCAAAATGTCCAAACTTGAGGGACTTAAAAAGAAAGGAAATTAGGATAAGGATGGCTGAGTTGTTCTTTCTTTTTCTTCTTCCTTATCCGCGTGATCTGCTCTTCTTCTTTTCCCCTGCACCCAACAAGCCCCCCAAGCCACCGACTTTCTTCCCCCTTGAAAAACCCGGTGGGATCTTGATGAATTCTCTTCCTTTCTTGTTAAATCACAAGATTTGAGGCTTAGAATCTTCCCTCTCAACCCAGAAAATCCCGAATCTACTCTGCTCTTTTCCCCTGTCCGCCGGCTGCTATGTGGGTTTGAATTTCTGGGCATTTTTCGGGTAAGCCACAGCCAAGAAATCATCTCTTTAACCTTGATTTAGGCTGGGTTATGCTAATTTCTGTTATTGCCCTAAATTTTTGGGTAGTCCGTGAGTTTCCTGCAGCTTGCCGCCAGCCTCTTCTTCTCCCTGCTAGGTCCGGTTCTTACTGGAAATTTCTGGTATGATGGCCACTTCTTTAAGCCCTAAATTAGCCATTTAATTGCTGCCTTGTGTGTGTCCGAATTGTGCCAGAAATGGGGAGGAATTCCGATAGCATTTAGTAGCATTTTAAATGTGTTTTAAGCTTGATTAAGTAGAATTGAGCTTGAATTAGCTGCTGTGATGTTTTGTGTGAAAATTCCGTGTGTGTGAATTGTGATTTGCCAAAGTTATGCTTTCCCTGTGCTGCCGTGAGAAATGGGAAATTTTTGGTAGATTAAGTTATGTTTTTAAGCTTGTTTTAAGTGTAAATTAGCTTGAATTGGGTTGTTGTGATTTTGGAGTGAAATCCCGTGAATTAGCTAGTGTTTTGGCCAAATTGTGGAAGTCGGAGTTACTGTTCACGTCGTGAGCACTGTTCATGGGTACTGTTCATAGCCACTGTTCATATCCCGAGAGTCGACAATTAACAGAGATTTAAATGATTAGTTTGTGATATAAGAACGAATTTGGAGATATTTGATCATGTGGAGATTTATGGAAATAGCTTTGTGATTAGGAATGATCCT